GCACAAAATAACTTCACTACATTTTTTATTTGTTAGACAGACTGATTTCTCTATAAAATAACTATTTTGTTCAAAAGGATATTATTTAGAGAGCCCATGCAATCATTTAATACTTTTTATTCTTCATATTTGATCATTTATTTAATCGCAGAGTAGGTCAGTCACAGTATGGTTCTAAATGTAAACAAGCTATATTGTGAAGAATAAAATTTGTAGATATTTAAACTACAAAAAGAACATAGTGGGGTGGGGGTAACACTAAGTGGAGGCTCATCTTCACTATAATACGAGGCAAAGATATGTTGATCTGTTAGAGTTAATATCGTTCCATAGGAAAAGCTGAAACAGTGTCTCTCACAGAACTCAACCTGTGTGCACCTCAGCGTGCTCCTTTAACAGCGCTGTCGAGGAGAGGAGTTTGGTCACGTGAGCAAAGTTGCACATATCTGTTCGATGACAAAGCTCTGAACACAAACTTATAATGTTAGATTTTAGATACCAATGTCTCGGGTAGCTCGGGAGCAAAGTGTAAAGGTCAGGGTTTGCTCACTCAGGATAGGAGCTGCAGTGTTGACTGGTGTTTACCCTGACTGCTTCACTGACATCAGAAAGACCCGCCCTGCTCTGCTCTGATTGGATAGAGCCGCGGGGGTTCATTTGATTTGTTGAAAGCAGCGTCTGTTCAAACCTGTACCAGACTGGGTGGCTTTAACAAGACTGCAGCAGAAAACAAGCAGGTTTCTCTTTTCCTCATTTTTTTAAATATCAAAAAGACGCCAGTTATTGTCATAAATGTCGGTATTGGTTATTTTTCGCTTTATCACCCAGGCCTAGTACAGGGTGAGTTAAAAGACTCAGGACACCCTTTTATTTCAAAAACACAATGGAAAATAAAATATCTGATAATCCCAGCAAGTAATGGGTGAGGGGCCCTCTTTTTGAGGCTGTCACATGGTTGCCATTTGAAAGCTGCCACATTGGATCAAAACCATTTTTTTTCCAATAGGAGAGTGGTCCTATAGCATGTCAAAGAAGGCCCGAATTGTCTTAAATTGATTGCCGCAATCAAATTTCAATATCTCTTAAAGTTAAAAAGGTATCAACAAAGAAGGTCACAAAAACAACTGGGAACATTGCCAGTGTTACACAGCTGTTTGACTTGTTCAGTGTGCTGAACAGACATACCTCTGACAAACAGCAAAGGTTTTGAACTTTCTGTGTTGCATCAGGACAACTCTTTGTGTCGATAACTTTTGAACCAAAAGAGATTTTGCACATTTGATTGCAGTAATTGATTTTTGAGGCAAATTGGGACATCTCTGTAATGCTACATGACCCTTTTCCAGTTTAAAATTTTGACTTTGACCCATTATGGTGGCTTTTAAGATGGCAGCAATGTTCTTAACTTAGCCTAAAAGTTAGGTCCCATCACCCCTTATTGGGTTTTCAGATATTTCGTTTTCCCTTTTATTTCTGAAATAAAAGGTGTCCTGACACTTTTGACTAACCCTGTAATTTGGTGGAAGAAAAGGTTTTGTGATGGGGTTCTGTGGTAAGGTTATAAACAATTAAAACAATTTTTACAGATAGCTCTTTGAATTACTTCACTTTGGAGAAATGGTTTAATTTAGATGAGATTGAGATGAGAGCCTGGTAGCTGATGGTAGAGCCTGGTGGCATGGCCTGGTAGATGATGGTAGAGCCTGGTCTGGGCTTGGTGGTTGGGTCTGATAGCTGATAGTGGAGCCTGATAGCTGGGCCCGGTATGTGGGCCTTGTGGCTCTTGATGGAGCCTGGGCTGGGCCTGATAGCTGATGGTAGAGCCTGGTGTTTGGGCCTGATAGCTGGTGGTAGTGCTTGGTAGCTGGGCCTGATAGCTGATGGTAGTGCCTGGTAGCTGGACCTGGTGGCTGATGGCAGAGCCTGGTGGCATGGCTTGGTAGATGATGGTGGAGCCTTGTCTGGGCTTGGTGGTTGGGTCTGATGGCTGATAGTGGAGCCTGATAGCTGGGCCTGGTATGTGGGCGTCGTGGCTATTGATGGAGCTGGGCTGGGCCTGATAGCTGACATTGGAGCCTGGTAGTAGGGCCTGGTAGCTAATGGTAGTGCATGGTAGCTGGACCTGATAGCTGATGGCAGAGCCTGGTGTTTGGGCCTGATAGATGATGATAGAAGCTGGTGTTTGGGCCTGATAGTTGATGGTAGTGCCTGGTAGCTGGACCTGGTGGCTGATGGTAGAGCCTGGTGGCATGGCCTGGTAGATGATGGTGGAGCCTGGTCTGGGCTTGGTGGTTGTGTCTGATAGCTGATAGTGGAGCCTGATACAGTAGCTGGGCCTGGWATGTGGGCGTCRTGGCTATTGATGGAGCCTGGGCTGAGCTTGAGAGCTGATGGAGCCTGGTAGCAGGGCATGGTAGCTGATGGTATGCTTGGTAGCTGGGCCTGATAGCTAATGGTAGTGCCTGGTAGCTGGACCTGGTGRCTGATGGTAGAGCCTGGTAGCTGGGTCTGATAGCTAATGGTAGTGCCTGGTAGGTGGACCTGGTGGCTGATAGTTGAGTCTGAGGCATAACAGATTTTGACCAGATGGCTTTGCTTTACTCCAAATAGTAAAACCCCACCAGAGAACCACACTTCAAAATCTTAACTGTTGCTTTTGAGTATTTTCTTGAACAAGAGCTGGTGTTTTATTTGTTTGATGGAAATAAACATTTTGATCATACTGCTAAAGACCAGCCATGAAATGTTTTATCTTTCACACTCCTGCAGCTACACTATTATCAGATCACTCCTGCTTTGTGAAAATTGTCATTCTTGAACGTTATCCAATCCAACTTTGGTGCCAAAATCTGAACAAGCTCACATGATCTCACCCATCACATGCATAACTTCCTATCTTCCTTACACATCACAGAATGACAGCACTTAAACACCCCACCCAACCCGCCCGTGTTCATGTCTCTGAGTGATTAATGGATGTTCATTGCGCTGCACACTCTTGTGTGTTCAGCAACTTGATTGATGGGACTCAGTGTTTGACAGCTGGACAGATGTGGCATGACAGAACACCCTGGCAGGAAACTGAAACCTCAGTTCTGCCACCGTCTGAGGGTAATTCCTGTTTAGAGAGGAGAGACAGAGATTGAACAAGAGTCTTAATGCATCATTTTTATAGTGGAACAAAATAAAATTTAGCCTGATATTGACTGGAAATACCACTGACTAATTATGAAACAGGTTTTTGAGTCCGTAGAAAGAGGCTCACGTTTGTTTCTAAAAAAACAACTTTTAACTATAAATCTAAAAGCAAGCTTTCACAGAGAAGTTTTGATTAAATTAATTCTTTAAAAAATAATCTGTGGTCTTACCTAAATAACTCTTACTGAAGGACATCTTATAATGCCTGTAAATATTTTGTACAATGTCCTGAGATGACTTTTATTTTGATTTTTCACTATATAAATAAACTGAATTGAAATGAACTGACTTAAAATAAAAGCTTGCCTGAGGGTTTTATAGTGACTCAGTTTGCTATACATAAAAACGTGTGATGTTTTAACACTTTTCAGCTATAAAACTGATCCAGGAAGCAGATGAGTCATGATCAGTTTTACATAAACCTTCATTTAAATATACTTTTAAACAGGCAGCCTGAGCAATCACTAAAGATTTTTTCTAAAAAATTAAATGTAGCCACCAGCTAAGATTAGAATCTAGTAAAAGTACAATTAAACTCTTTTCAAATGAAATCCTTTGACATAATAAAGCTGTTTCCTTGGATAGAAAATGTTAAACTTTTAGTAACGTTTTGCTACAAATCTGATTGAAACAGTCTTAAAATAGATTCATTGTAAATATAGTACTGTGCAAATGTAAAAAAATAATTTTCTTTTCTTCATCTTTGCTTGAAAAGCAGTCAGATTCAGATCCTGGGCAATTTTTCTTTAAGCTTTTATTTTATTATTATTTTTTACTTTTGCTGCTTTTTTATTCAGTTTCAGTTCAGTACCTGCCCATTTGTTTTAGTATAAGCC